TTCAATTGTTTTCTGCACCCCACTGAAAGATTTGGTTTGGTCCGCCGGGAGCCTTGCGTGTTCCCCAAGGGGGAAAGACACTGTCATGCAGATTCGGGTTCATCTGCAAAGGAAGAACGGTGCTGTGGTGACTCCTTGTCTTGTCGGATATGAGGATGAGGAACAAGTGGGGCGAGTACTGTGCCCTTTTGGAACAGGCTTTTACCGTAGTGCCCCCGGACTTTTACTCTGTTGAGACTACCTCTGTGTTCTGTTTGTGGAAGTTATGACCTCGACGCTTTTCCGTTATTCCTTTACAGCATTTTTTGCGCATTTTCGCCTGGTCACACTTGTCGAAGGGTTTTTCAAAATTGTATTATTACATTGCATTCTTTTTGTTTCTAGTGCTTTGGGCCCTTTGTAGTGATCCCTAGTTGAGGGCAGCAGGAGCACTGTTTAAAACCATGTTGCCTGGGTTGTGTAACTGATGGGTTTCTAGGTGGGTGGTGATCTTGCTTCTTAGGACCCTTTCAAAGATTTTTATGATATGGGATGTTAGTGCTATTGGTCTGTAGTTCTTTGCTGTTGCTTTACTGCCCCCTTTGTGGAGTGGGGCTATGTCTGTTGTTTTTAGTAACTGAGGGACGACCCCCGTGTCCATGCTCCCTCTCCATAGGATGGAGAAGGCTCGGGATAGGGGCTTCTTGCAGTTCTTGATGAACACAGAGTTCCATGAGTCTGGCCTGGGGCAGAGTGCATGGGCATGTCATTTATCGCCTGTTCGAAGTCATTTGGCGTCATGATAACATCGGATAGGCTTGTGTTAATCAAATTTTGTGGCTCTCCCATAAAAAATTCATTTTGATCTTCGACTCTCAGTCTGGTTAGCGGCTTGCTAAAAACTGAGTCATATTGGGACTTGAGTAGCTCACTCATTTCCTTGCTGTCATCTGTGTAGGACCCATCTTGTTTAAGTAGGGGCCCAATACTGGACGTTGTTCTCGATTTTGATTTGGCATAGGAGAAGAAATACTTTGGGTTTCTTTCGATTTCATTTATGGCTTTTAGTTCTTCCCGCGATTCCTGACTCCTAAAGGATTCTTTTAGCTTAAGTTCGATGCTTGCTATTTCTCTGACCAGTGTTCTCCCTACGCATTTCAGATATATTGACCTCTTTTAGCCGCTCTGTTATTCTTTTCCGTCGCGTGTAAAGGGAGCGCCTGTCTCTTTCTATTTTACATCTACTTCTCCTTTTTCTTAGAGGAATAAGCCTTGTTCATACATCGAGTGCCACCGAGTTAATCTGTTCTAGGCATAAGTTGGGGTCTGTGTTGCTTAGTATATCTTCCCAGCTTATATCGGTTAGGACTTGGTTTACTTGGTCCCACTTTATGTTTTTGTTATTGAAGTTGAATTTGGTGAATGCTCCCTCGTGACTAGTCTCATTGTGTCGGTCTGGGGCTCCACGCATACATGTCTGAACCTCAATTATGTTGTGATCTGAGTATATTGTTTTTGATATGGTGACATTTCTTATCAGATCATCATTGTTAGTGAAGATGAGGTCTAGTGTATTCTCCAGTCTAGTAGGCTCTATTATTTGCTGGTTTAAATTGAATTTTGTGCAGAGATTTAAAAGCTCGTGTGAGTGTGAGTTTTCATCAGAGCTGCCTCCTGGTGTTATTACTGCAACAATATTATTTGCTATATTCCTTTCTCCCTCGGGAGCCAGAGACGGGTCATCGCAAGATTGAGACCCGTGCCAGGACTACGGTCTTGGCGAACATTATACATACATGCACCCCAGGTAGATCTGTTTGTGACTTGAAAAAGCCCACTGTGTGGACGAAACGTTGTCAATAAAGGATCACATTAAACTGCATATGTGTTTATGTTTCCATTGTGTCGGTTATTTTATACCATTTATTTTCATGATAGTTACATTGTGGGAACACCTGCAGTGTGTTGCTATACTATTCTACGTGATAGTTACATTGTGGGAACACCTGCAGTGTGTTGCTACACTCTTCTGTATGATAGTTACATTGTGGGAACGAAAGTTCCATTGCGGCAACAATGTACATACTTATATACTACAGTATATAAGCCACGTCTACGGCCCTATGCTGTACATTCTACAAGATTGATGGACTGAACACATCGACTCCAGGCTGAGGGACTGATTACCTCATACTCCTCCTCTCCTTACGCCTTCCTCTTTGTGTGGAAAAAGACACTTATGTACAGTTCAGGACATTTATTAAAGGAAACGTTTCGCCACGAGTGGCTTCTTCAGTCCTAATACAGAGAAAACTAAGAAAACACACATATATATAGTGGTGGGAGTCAGGTGAGGTGAAGCGTGGGTAGAGGTGGTAATAGTAGTAGTAGTAGTAATGGAACTAAGGAGGTGAGGTTAGAGAGGGACCTGCTGGCATCAAGTAACACCAGTTCCCAGGATGGGTAATATCCTCTTGCTTAGTAATTTTGAAATACTGTAACTACCGGATTTTTGCTTTATAGTGTTACTGACAGAAATTAGTGCAGCTTCAATGCATTTTCTCCGTCTTAAGTCGTCTTCTTTAATAACTAGTTTAGCTTCATTGAATTTCATGAGGTGTCCAACATCGTCTCTATGTTGAACACATGCGTTTTTGCGGTCATCATTTCTGCAAGCATTTTTGTGTTCTGCTATTCTAATGTCCAGAGTTCTGGCTGTTTCCCCTACATATACTTTGTCACACCCCCCACATGGTATAGTGTAGATTCCTGCACTTGTGCCAGAATCATGCTTGGGTTTTTGTATCAGGTTCCTAATAGTAGTTGAAGAGCTGGTAGATATTTTAGCCAGTTTTCTGTCAAACATTTTTGAAACATTAGTGGCAACGTTGCTGACCGGTAAAACGATGTAACCTGGAGGCTTTTCTTCAATTTGACAGGTGTTGGTCTTGCTGAGGATACGTGTTGCACGTTTCCTGCAGTCACGTATGAAGTGTAGGGGAAAGTGTAGTGAACTAAAAGAGTTGGTGATGTATGTACATTCTTTTAAAGTCTACCGAAAGCCTACCTACAAGAATGATCTTCTACATTTCTTCTCTCACCATGACACAAGAACTAAAAGAGGGGTAGTTATTGGCTTCTTTCTGAGAGCCTACAGAATTTCCAGTCCGCAGTTCCTCGAAGAAGAATGTACATACATCACCAACTCTTTTAGTTCACTACACTTTCCCCTACACTTCATACGTGACTGCAGGAAACGTGCAACACGTATCCTCAGCAAGACCAACACCTGTCAAATTGAAGAAAAGCCTCCAAGTTACATCGTTTTACCGGTCAGCAACGTTGCCACTAATGTTTCAAAAATGTTTGACAGAAAACTGGCTAAAATATCTACCAGCTCTTCAACTACTATTAGGAACCTGATACAAAAACCCAAGCATGATTCTGGCACAAGTGCAGGAATCTACACTATACCATGTGGGGGGTGTGACAAAGTATATGTAGGGGAAACAGCCAGAACTCTGGACATTAGAATAGCAGAACACAAAAATGCTTGCAGAAATGATGACCGCAAAAACGCATGTGTTCAACATAGAGACGATGTTGGACACCTCATGAAATTCAATGAAGCTAAACTAGTTATTAAAGAAGACGACTTAAGACGGAGAAAATGCATTGAAGCTGCACTAATTTCTGTCAGTAACACTATAAAGCAAAAATCCGGTAGTTACAGTATTTCAAAATTACTAAGCAAGAGGATATTACCCATCCTGGGAACTGGTGTTACTTGATGCCAGCAGGTCCCTCTCTAACCTCACCTCCTTAGTTCCATTACTACTACTACTACTATTACCACCTCTACCCACGCTTCACCTCACCTGACTCCCACCACTATATATATGTGTGTTTTCTTAGTTTTCTCTGTATTAGGACTGAAGAAGCCACTCGTGGCGAAACGTTTCCTTTAATAAATGTCCTGAACTGTACATAAGTGTCTTTTTCCACATCTTGTCGGTATCACCATACCATTTCCTCTTCCTCTTTGTATTGGACTGATGAAGCCACTGTGTGGCGAAACGTTTCCTGAATAAAGATTCCCATATGCTGCATAAGTGTCTCAATCTTCAACTTGTCGGTTTTTCAAACCATTCATCACAACACTTGACAATGTTCACTCTTCTATCCACAGTCACTCGGGGGGGATAGAATTTGAATGAAAGTAAGTCACAAATTATTGAGTGTAAATATCCCATCTACTACACAAGGGCCATTAAGGCTGCATTATAGTGTTTACCTTCAGTCAAGAATACTTTAATACCTTAATTAGAGATTCCAGAAGACGAGTGACAGAGCACATAAGCAGGAAGATATAAACCTCCCAGAGAGTATTTCCTGGACAGAGTAGAATTGAACGTGTAATAAGTTGGCTTCCAGGAGTTGTCTTGGCTAAACTGTACGAGGACAAATGTGAGTGAGATGGGTTGGGTTTGAGAAGACCCTGCTCAGTGTAGGCGAGTAGACCTTCTGAATGGGGATATTAATAAGGTCTTGAGGATATCTCTCCAAAAGAGAACCCGCAGTAATGGATTTAAATTAGATAAGTTTAGATTTAGAAAGAACATAGGAAAGTATTGGTTTGGAAATAGGGTAGTTGATGAGTGGAACAGTCTACCTAGTTGGGTTATTGAGGCTAGGACTTTGGGTAGTTTCAAATTTAGGTTGGATAAATATATGAGTGAGAGGGGTTGGATTTGAGTGGATAGAGTTATCAGAGCTTATTTCTTGGGTAGCATTGAAAATTAGGTTGGGCAAATGTTTTATTAGTGGGATAGATTGTATAGGACCTGCCTAGTATGGGCCAACAGGCCTGCTGCAGTGATCCTCCTTTTTTATGTTCTTATGTTCATATGTTCCTCTGTTATATTCTTCCTACCGTCTCTGTCTCTACAGTGCTCTGTTACTTTCCGTCTGGGACCCTTTATATATACTACTTGCCAGGTGAGGGGTAGTAGACAACTCACTATTTGTTTACTGAAAAGCTGACCGTGATCGTTCCAGACGTTGGTGTTATCACTCTTGCTGTGAAGTTGACTGGAAAGATTCTGGAAGAAGAACATCACGCCGAGGAGGATTATCAACAGCAGGAATATGGTGAAGGATGTTTCTTTGGTGAGTGATGCCTTCAGAACCATGATCTGCCTGCTGGTGGGGGACAGTAAGTGAACAAATCAGTTAGAGACGATCAGAAATTAACTTGACCGGAGAATAATAGCTCTTTAGTTTGTAAATAAGGGACGTTCAAGTCTAGCTCTTTTATATCTTTGATAAAGCATAAATAAAATATGGTTCACACTCTCTGAGTAGGTTCCTCACTCACTCAGAGTAGGTTCACAGCGCTCACTCAGATTCAGACACTCAGCCTTTTACATTTCCCCCTCTAGAATATTAGTCCCAGACAAAGTCATCCCTGACTCAGTGATAGCTTGTTTTTAGCTAAGATTTCGGTCTGTCTATACTTTAAAAGAGACTTCTGGCTTTGAAGAATTATCGTGCTTTAAGTTTTTTTATATATATTTTATTTAAAACATACATTAAATAAATAAAAGTGTACAGTGTCAGATCATCCACAGACAATATAAATTCTTCTTTGTCTAAACACACTGCACGTTTTACTTTGCCCTTACACAAAAAGTCCCTCATCACCTGTATAGTTTATCCCTTGGTTTAGAAAGACACGTAAGCAAACACTATGACATATTTATTAGAAAACGTTTCGGTCCTGGGACCTTGATCGCTTCTAACATACAGAGGTAGAAAGACATTATATATATAGGCGGAGAGTGAGGTGTGAGTGACGCACGTGACCTGAGGAATGTCATAAGAACATAAGAATTGAGGAACACTGCAGAAGGTCTACTGGCCCATGCGAGGCAGGTCCTTATCAAAAACAACCTCTACCTATGATGAGGACGGGTAGACGATGAAATCATGTGACTCCTGTGTTGTTGGGCTGGTGGTGCTTAAGTATCATGTATGCCAATGTTTTTGAAATTTTGTAGTTTCCAGTGCTGCCTTCTATAGTGTCGGTGACGGCGATCAGAGGCTTTAGACGCCGACGGTCCCCTAAAGCCTCATGTGCCGTCACCGACACTATAGAACCAAACTGGAAACTAAAAAATTTAAAAAAACAGGCATACATTACTAAGCAGTCGACAGTAACACGCCAACAGCCATGTTACCCCCCTCGCCGTTGCTGAAGTTCCCGCCTCAGCCTGTAGTGAATTTTCACGCCAAAAACATGTTGGGCTCTCCCTCCGCTCACACCGGGGCTCTTTTCACCGATGGGGTTACGGCCCTTCGTCTTCCCCACAGGATTGGTGCTTTGGTGGTTGCCTACCCAAGGCAGGAACCCTCCCTCTGCACTCCTGTGCTGTCTGAAGTCCCACCCTCCCCTGTACGTGGGTCTCACACCATAAAGCCATTTTTCCTCCCCCTCCCCGTTCGGGCAGCGTGCTACACAAGCTTCAGCTCACCTCCAAGTTCCTGTGCCCCCCAAGAGGGACTCCACAAAAAACTTTAAATTTTAAAAGGCAAGTACATGTTATTTCACAGTACTTGCATAGCCAAATTTACTTAAACAGTTTTGGCCGCCACATTAATTTACATGCCTTCAATGCCTTCCACCCTTTCCCCCTTACCATCCTAGCCAACACCTGCCTCTACCGTCTACTCCTCCTAAAAGGCCTCCCCTGCCCACCTTTTCCCAAACCCAATTCTTTCTCGTTAACCTCAATACTCTAAACGATATGCCCTACTGTCCGGGAAAATTATTTATCGATCACTGGCCTCCTCATAAAAGCCCTTTAAAAACCAACTCAGGCTTCAAACTACTTCTTGACAGCATTCTTACAAAACGTACCCCTCACCGAACCAGACAAAAACTTCCAAGCAGGTTCACTATTATTTGGACCCTGAGCACCGCCCCAAAATGACAAAAAATCGAAAAAAACCGTAGCTATTTCTCCTACTGCCCTATGACAAAACAAGAAGACTTAATCAAAGACTTTATACAAAGAACAAAGTCTCGTTACGATATTTACAGATGAAAACTCTACCTCCCAAAATACGCTTTTAAAACTCCTTCGGGCGTCTACACTTTTCAATAAAAGAATCCTTGCCAAGACCATCTGCATTCCCAAACACCCCTTCACTCCCAAACTTTCCCCCCACCCAAAAAAATGTCGAAATCTACAAATTCGGCCACGACAAAATCTCATGCCTCCAAAAAACCCTGCCCAGATGTTCACAACTGGCCACTTTGAACACTTGCAACCCTCCCCCTTAAATGTTTAACGCGGTGGGTCACACACGCAGTTGAAAAATTCCTGCCCTACTAAAAAAAAGAATTCTCTCCACCCCCAGAGCAAGCCAACCTCCCTCCCCCCCCAACCCTTTTTCCCTCCCCCTACCCCCCCCCTCCCATACCTTCCCCCCCTATCCCAAGCCTGGGTACCCCACGCACTTGGTCCCCCTCTCCTACTTACACACTTCAAACACCAAACACAGACTACAATCACCTCTCCTACACCTAACCCACACTAGACTACAAATAACTGTAAACCGCACTGTCCCCACCTCGGGGTAATCTTCAACTTACCAATCAGTACTCACATGTCTTAAACCAATCTTTCTGCTAAAAATTTTCCCCCCTTTAATTATCCCCCTTCCCTGCTTCTTTTTCTAACCCCCTTTTAAACCTTAAACCTCCCCCCTCTCTCCCACCCCCCCACTTCCTACACCCACCAGCTCGCCCCTCCCCTACCCCTATACTTTACCCTCCCCCAACACCCCTCTGCCGCTACAACCACCCCCCCCCCCCATTTCCTTACTCACTTCCCTTTTCCCCTTCCAAAAGCTTCCATTCCCCCCCTTACCATAGCTTCCTTTCTCATCCCTACCAAAGCTTCCATTTCCTCTGCACCCACTTTTGCCCACTCCACCAAAAACCAAAACTCCCTCCAACTCCACCTCCTCCAAAAAAATCCACTCAAACCAAAACCGCCCCAACTTTGACAACAGACCAAAGAACAAAAAAAAACAATCCTCTCTTCCTCCCCCAAGGAAAGGGGTTCGTAGCCCCTTTCAAACACATCCACTGATGGCACTTCACAGTTTTAATTCCAAAAACTCATCCCTCGACATTAAATTTTCTAAGACGAAACCCTTAAATCATGTTTAAGTGATTCAGTTCAACATAAAGTTCTTACTTTACAATTAGCACCCTTTTGGGCCCACTCCTTTAAGCAGAGGGCCCGATATTGTTTTGCTGAACATACCCGCCTCAAAGCCCCCCAACGTATCCGCCCTATGGTTATACTGACTACAGTCCCCCCCATGACCCACGATGGGTTGCCCTCCTTGTCAATTTCCCAAAATAAAAAACCGAATTTTCTCCCAATCCCCTTTTTTCACCAAAACTTCTTTCGTCAAATACAACCCCCCTTGGCCCCTTTATTTTTTCACCACCCAGTCGCCCCAAAAACTATTTCAACACACATGACTTTCCTTTTGTCTCAAACAACCCAAAACCCAACAACCTACGCTCATGAATGCCAACACACCACCTTTCACAACCCCGTAAAAACCCAAATTTTGGGACCCAAATTTCTCAACTTCAAAACCCTAAACACCTAATTCATCTCGGCCCCGATTCAAAACCTTCTACAACAACACGGGGGCCCAAGGGAAACCAACTCATTTGGAAACCCCAACTCTTTATTTCAACACTACTCCACCTGCCCTATTACAGGGTCTGATCACATCCATCATCTTAACACTCCTCCAACCCATCCCCCATTCCCGCCACACCTTCCTTTCCTACAAGAACGCTGACTGGGTGTTTCAAAAACCATGGACATATTAACCCACCTATACACAACAACAAACCCTTCTCGACATCGTATCAACTTTAACTCATTCAGGGACCATTCAAAAGCAGCCAACATCGCAAAACCAAAAAAAACTCACACCACTCGATATTTCCTTCAAACCGTCACTCAGAAAAAGAAACTAATTATCTGCTACCCCAACGTTCCCTCAACACACAAAATTAATCAGGTCCCTTAATCTCACTTTCCTTAAAAACAACATTTTTTACAGCCTAGACCAAAACCACAACAATCACTATCACAACTAATACAACAAGCAACAAACAGCGCATTAAGAACACTAAAGCCTTCTGGAATTTTCCAAAAAAATCGAGGCACAACTCTCACCACAAAAACAAACAACACCCAAAAACACACACATCCGACCCACTCGCTACCAATTCTTCAAACACATCGGGAGAACACTTCCCCCCCACCCCACCTCACCCTAACTATTCAACACATTCAAAACAAGAAAACCGCAACATGCTGGGTAGCAAAGAGTACTAAACCTTTATTTGGCAGTACACACCCTCTTTACAGGGAAACTCCCCCCAAACCCGCGAACCAGGTTTCTAAAGTTATGATGGGGGGCCCCCCCGTTTCAATATGACCAGGGTTTTAGCCAAAAAAAAGATGGGTTTTGGCAATGCAGAGGTTATGTGGGTACCCCTCTCCTTCTGCCCTTGTCATTCCCCTTTTACACGGGTTAAGCACGGTCTGCATCTTGTGCTTCATTTTTGCCTTGCTTACCGTGGAGTGCACTATACTTATCACTAGACATAGTTTACAATTGCTGTCTAAATTGGTAAAGGGATAAATAGTCTAAACTTTTTCTTGCTGTGTTATTTTGCTCCCATTACACCCGGGATAACAGGCCTTTGGAATCCCGGGGTTGTAATATGGGTACCTGTCCGAGAGCTGAGTGGAATTTTAAGAGAAACGGTTGGCTTTAGGGTAAGCTCGTAGCGGGAACATTGTGCAGCTTGCTGTCTTGGGCATTATTTTTACAAATTGCGTTAGTTCTTTTTTGACTTAAATCGTATACTGCGTTGGTCCCGTTGGTCAATTTCTAGAACATGTAGCTGTCCTGTGCATAGCTTTACGATTTTTTTTTTATATTTTATAAAAGTATATAACAACATATAAATTATAAAATCCATTTCTTTTTAAACATTTTTAAAAAACATATATAAACATAATAAATTATAAAAATGCACACATACCCGATTTATTACACAAGAATATACCCAAAACCTAATAAT